GCCGCGGGGACAGTCCGACCAAATGTTTGTTAAGTTTTAGATATTCTCTTCCCTAAGGGCAATTTGACCATTCTACCCCTAATTAGCAGGAAAAGTGGGGAGTAATGTAAGGAATTTTCATGGAGATATGTTGCATATGGGGTGTGTTTTGTAATGAATCAAAGATATAGATAGAATTCCCAAAGAAGATAAGGGCAAAATGGGAATGCTTGTGTATAAATTTCATTAAAAGGTTAAGACATTGCAAACCCCTCATTCTTCTTCTCCAACGCCACTTTCCTCTCTTGCTTCCTCTCATTTCTCTTTCTTTTGATCAAGGAGTTTTAAAGGGCTTTTGAAGTGATTTGGGGTAGAAAATCAACCTAAGGTATCCTAAGGTAAGGATTCTTACTTTGGTTGTGAAGCTTTGTGAGTTTTTGGTATATATTGGAGTTTTGAGGGTTTTTGTTCTTTTGTTTAAGAGTAGAGAAAAGTCAAGCAAACCAAGTGAAAGGAAGAGTTAGTGAAATCTCTCCATAACAAGGTAAGTAACCCCACCCCAAGTTGAGATTTGGGAATTTTCTTGATTAGGTTTTGGATAGCACTTATGTATGTGTGTTATATACATGTTATAGCCATGTTATTGAGGCTTAAATAGAGATTTCTAGTGCCTTGTGATTGTTTTACCTTTCAAATATAAGAAGTGAGTTTGGGTGGAAAGGTAGTTTGAGATGGAATGAGAGGGTATTATGGAACCCTTTGGAAGTGTGTTTCTTTGGCAGGTTATGTGGCTATGTAAGGAGGTTTCTCCCCATTTTGGATGGTTAGAGAGAGATTTAGAATCATTGGTATAGTAGAGTTTTATTATGCACTTGAGTTGTTTGATGAAATACCTAATAGAGGTTTGAGTATGAGTAGTGAACCTTAATTCTTGCACATTGCATGTGGCATTTCATAAGTGCATTAGTGGAGAACACATCCATAGGCACTAATTGTGCATTGAAAAGTGACCTAAGAAAGAGTAGGAAACTTTGTGTATACATTACTCTATGAGTAGAGAACTTGGTGGATGCAACTACTCTAAAGGTAGAGAGAATGAAAAAATGCTAGAATAGAGTGAATGAGAAGAGTAGTAAGATGGTTGATGCTTTTGATCATCACCCGATAGTTATGAGAATCAGGTTGATGCTTTGTGATCACCACCCGAATAGCCATTAGAAATGGGTTGATGCTTTGTATCATCACCCGATAAGTATTAGAAATTGGTGGATGCTTTGTGACCACACACCAGTAGTTATTAGGAAGGGGTTGAGCTTTGTGATCATCATCCGACGTTTATTAGAAGTGGGTTGATGCTTTGTGATCATCACCCGATAGTGATTAGAGACGGTTAATGCTTGTGATCGTTACCAAGTCAGAGGAATGGGTAGGTGCTGTGGTCTCCACCCATAGTTACGAAACCGAGTAAGTGCTTCATGATCCCCACTCGGTAGTTCTAAGAACGGGGTGGTACTGTGTGAATTCCACCCGATAGTCATGGGGAGTGAGATGGTGCTGTTGAACGCCACCAGCCGTACCTCCGGTAAGATGAGGCCATGACGTTTAGAAATAGAAACAAAAACAGTGTAAGGAAAGAATTAAGAGTAATACATACGGGGATAGACGATAGAGGTTTTACTTACTGAGCTTATTTTGTGCTCACCCCGTTATTTTTCCTTTGTGGATGCAGGTTCTAAGTGAGGCAGTCGGAGGGCATCGGCAAGCGAGGAGCAATAGCTACACTGTTTTCCCTGTTTTGTCTTTCAAAAATGACTTTTTGTAAACAATACTCTTTATGTATAAAAGACATATGACTTATATGAAAAGAAGTTTTGTGGGCCCCATTTTCTATTGTTATTATGCATGCATTGTATTAGCTTACAGTAGTTGTTACATTTCTGGTCAGCTAGACTGACCGAAGTGTACATTTGCGTGAGTTGTTAGGTCAGTTTAGGTCGATTGGCAGTGCAAGTCGATGAATTGGTCTGAGCCGATTGAAGGTATGATCAATGAATCGGTTTGAGCCAACTGAAGGTGTGAGTTTAAGAATCGGTCTAGGTTGATTGAAGGTGTAGGTTGATGAATTGGTCTGAGTCGATTGGAGGTGTATGCTCATAAATCGGTCTGAGCTAATTAAAGATGTAAGTTTCTTAATCAGTTTGAGCCGATTGATGGTGTAAGTTCATGAATTAGTTTAAGCTGATTGAAGGTTTGTTCATGAATCAGTCTGAGCCGATTGAAGGTGTATACCACTAATCGTTGAATCGTTCTTTTATTGATTTAGGCCACGAGGTTGACTCAAAAATCAAAGAACAAAGAGTAATATAGAATTACTTATGGGTGTTTCTGCATTAAGTTAACTGCTGGCTCTCGTTCTATTTTCAAATAATGACACCAATCAATTATATATCAAGAAATTATAAAATTGTCCAAAATTGCTAGTAACGAAACAATTATAATCTACTTTCAAATTTGATCATATTTATGTTACTAATTGTAACGATACCATAGCGATTTTTAGTACATATATTTGACGATAATATATTAAATTTTAATATTGATACTGGTTATATCTAATTAAATGATATTGACATAGTAAACATGTGGGGTTGCACAAATTTGAAGGATTTATATGTTATACTGTAATAATTGGTAACATATATAATCGTAGATAGAGGCGCAATAAGTAGTAATCTTACCACCATTTTATATTTAAAAATACAAACCTCGTTTAGTAAAGGATTACTGGCACTATCTGACACTGAAGATAAAAAGAAAAAAAAACACAATTTACTGTAACACAAAGACAAAAATTTGCTGGCACTATCTTCTACATGTTAAGTAACTTTTGTTTCCTCGCCTCGTCGTTGGCTTCTTTCTCCCTCATGGCTAAGGCTGAACAAGGGGATGGGGTTTAAGCAAAAAACATATGGCATACCAAGCCCCACAGAGGTGGCAAACAGCCCAAGTCCACTAATGAAAGCAAACACCATTCTACCATGGCAAACACGTAAGGTAATGTGCATAAAGAAGAGACACTAAGTTTTGGAGAAACTTTAACGACATGACAAAGTGAATAAAGACAGAAGAAACGAGAGGCTCATGGCGATGGAATCCGCTCATAAAAAATTGAAAAGCTGACTTTCTACTTAGGATTGCAGTACCTTGATCCTGACCTTTTTCGCTTTGGTAACCACCAGGCTGGTGAAACCTGCCGCGAAGGTTACTGTTGCTATGACGCAGCCACTACCAAATCGGTTCTCTTGCTTTCTCCACTCCAAGTAAATCTTCACTGAGGGGTTCTCTGCTACTACAGATAACACCTCTTGGACGTTGTCCATTGCAAACCTCTTGGGTCAATGCTTGAATTTCTTGCTGTTTTGGATCAGTAATCAATTAAAAAAAACAGTAAGTAATTAAATTAATTAAATCAAGGAAAAATTACAATTTCAAGTCATAACATTGCATTGCATACATATATATTAACAAAAATCCTCAAATGCATACCATCGATTTTCTCATAATCCGTTTTCTTTTACCATATCAGTATGTGATCTGGATTTTGAAAAAATGTGGATGTTTGCATTAGAGAATGATTCTATGTGCTAATACTTAGTGAAGACACTGACTATTACTCAAGCTCTAAAGCCATAGCTCAATATTGTTCGACACTATATTTTGCCTATTGATAACCCAAGGCTGCTTTTATGCTTCAAGTTGAACTGTTGAGCTCGAATGAATAATTTCGTTTTGAAGCTGCAAGAACATGGAGAGTGTTCCCCTTGGCATCCTTATGATGTAAGACTCCTAACTAGTGGATTTTGTTGGAGAACATCCACATCTTTTTCATGCAAACTCACATAGCAAGTGAAGGAAATTCCAACCTCTATTATCCACCAGTTCATAACATTGTGGAGAAGAAGAATTTTTTCTATTACCTTTAGACACCCTTGACTGCTAGCCACATGAAGAGGTGTCATTTTACGATCCTTGTCAGGTATGATGCAGCAGATTCATCAAATTCTAATAAGACTTCTGTATTTAAAGTAAGATTGTAATATGCAGCATAATGAAGTGGAGTCCACCCATATTGGTCCTTTCTTTTGTCAAACACTTTTTTTTCTCTAGTATTTCTCTCGCGGTTCCTGAGACAAAAAGGCAACATAATAATAAATAATATTATACATCCCAATTTGTATATCAGTTATCATCTCCCAAGTGATGATATCCTACGAGATCTCATTTCATATTTACATAAACTAACTAATCAATAATGTCATATTACTTGGATATAAAAATTGGAATACAGCCTTGGGCTTCTTAAAAACATATAAACATGTACAATAACGTTAAATAGGATGGTGAACAAATTTTCTGCAGGCGATTGCATATACACATCCATCCACAAGGGACGAGAACCGTGTAATTGGGTTGATCTCTTGTATTAGAGTAAGAGATCCGAGGATTAAATCTATGCTTACTTAAATCCCTCAAACCCGGATTAATTACATTTCACACAAAATCAAACTATTTAACCTCGACTATCTACAACCTTGCATCTCATTTAGACAAAACATAATAAACTTTCTGACTCATTATGTTTCCACTGAATGAATTCAACCACTTCCTACGCCTATGTATCTTGTCAGGCGACCAATAAAAGTATAACGGCTGGCTAATCTAGGCTGCTGAAATTTCTTGGACTAAATATTTTTTTAAGGAATCTCATCTTCCACTCTCATTACCATTTTGATTCCTTGTGTAATCTAGTCCAACTTATTTTGCCTGCTAGATTGTCGATGAACGATTACTAGGTTTCAATCGATTCCTTCTCAAAAAAAACTTGCAAATTGATCCATGATCAGAGCATTACCTACTCAACAGATTGTTTCAAGGCACAACACAACAATTTTCTCTGAAATTCATCTTCCTCTCTTTTGCTATAATATTTGATGATAACAATTTGAACCAGATAAACTCACCAGAATTTCTGCTCATGGCTGCCGCGTGCAAAGCTGTCTTTCCACCGGGTCCTTCGTGGGCCACCGCTCTGCAGCTTCCTAATATTGCAACCACCATCTCCGGAGATCCTCTAGCTGCAGCAAGGTAAAGTGGGGTTTCCCATAACTATAGCAGAGTAAGAAAAATCAGGATCACCTTCTCTCGTTAAAACCTTCACCACTTCCAAGCTTCCATACTGCACTGCCTCATGCAACGCTGCGTTTTCTTCCTTATTAGTCATCTTCAACATCTCCCACACAGGATTCAACCCGCCACTCTGTGAGGTTCCAGGTTGAGCCTTTGAATGCCTAAAAAGAACTTCCACCATAGTCGATTCCCGCATTTAGCTGCAACGTGAAGGGAGTATCGCCATTGGCTTGACTTGCAATGAGAGTGATGGGCATCTGGTGAGTATTTGATCAACGAATATGGTGGACGCCATTGCTCTTTGGCACTTGATTTTGACATCAATGGTGTCTTAAGTGTGTTACTACTTGTTCAAGATTTTGATGGTTGCCGCTGAAGGGTTCGACGTTGCCTTCACTGCTGCCTTGAAAAATGAATCCATGCGTTTGATTGAATAGGAAGAAAATCCAAAGCTCTTATGAGAGAAGAAGATGAAGACCCAAGTCGTCCACTAGAATAAGAAAACACTTCAGTAACTAATAATTCCTATGACCCCATAAAATCAAAAATACCACATTTAGGTCCCTTGATAGAATTCAAGTATTTTAGTAATTTTTTAATTTAAAGAGGTTGTCTAGTATTTTTATATTCCTCTAATAAAAGAACCCGATCCAGGGTGAAACCAGAAAATTATTTTTCAGGGTCTCCCAAATTTTAAAATGAAATAAAGAAAACTGGTAGCCCCTCGTTCGCAGATGGTCAGGTTATGGATTTTGTGAAAAGCTAAAATTGATAACTCGAACTAGAGAGGGCACCGATCACCGATCGGATCGATCGGTTTGGTCTGGTCTTCAGAACATTGTTCCCACCCAAACTAAGTGTTGAAGACAATTTTGTACCGAAAAGTTTGAATCTGTCCAAATCTGTTAATAAAATCTGTTTGAAAAAGAACAATATAGTAATTTTATTTTTATAATTAATTTTACAAAATCTCTCTTTTCAATTTTAATTATTTTATTTTTATAATTAATTTTATCTTTTCTTTTCTTTTCACCTGCACCCTTACCACCACCAACACCACCGCCCACACCTCATCTACTTTGCCAACGTCACTCCACCATCTCCACCTTTACAGCCCTAACAGCCCCTCTCTCCATCCTCCATAACCACCCCTCAAACTTCACTTCCATCACAGCCACAATCAATCTCACTCCACCTCAAATCAAACCCACTCCAACCTCCCACTTTCACTACTCAGATACAGGATTGATTTGGTTTCTCCACCAGAAGCCAACAAATTATCATCTCCCCATTTATTGTATACAACTTCACCCTCTATCCCTAGCTCCACAATCACCATAATAGAAAATAAAATTTCTATAATCCACAACAAACAACTTTAACTCTTTCTGGATTAATCTTTGCCAAACCAATTAAAACATAGCCACCGGTTATATTGAGCCCTTATTTGTTCAAACTTCACCCCCAAAAGTGTTGTCGGCGTAAAAGAACCTGGAGCAGGGGGGTGGTGAGGTTGTTGCTTGTCTTCCCCACTAGTAGAAGGGCCAACATCGCCCTGCCTTTGGCTACTTTCGCCTTCGACATCAGTAGACTCGGCAAAAGTGGTGATAGTCCTTGGGCCGCTCACATTGACCTTGGAAGCACCAGCTTCCACTCCTCTATCACTTCTTCTTCTCTGTTGTGTAGGAGTACCACTCAGGGAATGTTGATACGGTTTTTGCACCAATTAACGAGATACACGTAACCCTTTGGAATGTTTGCAGAGAAGATTATGCAAGATCGAGAAATAGCAAGTATGATCGAGAAATAGCAGGATATTGCATGAAAATAAACAAGAAATATAATAGCTAAATAAAGAGATGGACAAGAGTGTTTTTAAAGTGGAGAAGCAGTAAGCAATTCATGTGTTCACGGTTATCTTATTTATGTGTTTACAAGAAGAATTTGCTTTTAGAAACTAGTGTTATAATGCTTTTGTAATAAAAGAGATTTTGTATATATCTTTGGTTCGGGGGTGAGAATCCCCTATTTATAATATTTTGGAGGTAATCTTTGGCGCCAGTAATTTACGTACAATTGGACATGTGAAGCCGCACTGTTAGCTTTATAGATTAGACACGTGGAAAGGGCATCAACTTACATCCTTATTGGTTTAGTTTTCTCTATGCACGTGGGCACCTGTCTTTGGGTGGGCAGCTCATTTCCTTCTCTTCGAAGCTTCTTCTTTTAAAAGGTAGCCAGGTGTCGCAATGATGGCTTACTTTGAAGACACGTGTCAGGATCTTATTCTGCATGCTTTTACCCTCCAACAGCCACAAAAACACCTTTTAGTGTCAAACTTTCCAACTCCCCGATACAAAGAACATTCCATTGACAGTCTTCAGGTTTGGGGCAGACACTGACTTTTGTCCTACTAATCCTACCTCCTTTGTGAAAAGGAAAATAATAGAGACGTTGGGAGTAGAGCACCAAATTTATACACCAAATAACGTGGCATAATTCTAACCGTCGATTAATTATAACTTAATATTAATCGATAGTCAGGATTTCGTTACGTCATTCAGTGCACTACTTCCGATGACTATAGCATTACTCTTATGAAATATAGCATAGGAGAGCAGAGGGTGACCATAGAGTTTTAAGATTTTGTTACTGCCAAAGCCCACCATTAAATTGGCCTTACGAATTTTCTTTTCTTTTTCTTTTTGATTACCAATCCAGCAATTCTATCATCTTGATAATACCGTCCACCCCTCCAGCACCAATGCTTCCATGCGGCGTCTAGAAATGTTTTCCAGGGAATTGGATTGGTCGACGCATGCCACTGACGTATGGGATTCTTCCTTCTGTTTTACTGTATTCCAGCACCATTATCGTGCGCCAAAAGAGGAATACCACCCCGATGCCAACGGCGCAGGAGTCTAACAGGATTCATAGACAACTTCACCGGCGTCGGCCAACAGAGAAATTTGAGGGGAATTTCGACGCATTATGGCTATGTCAGGAGAATTCCTCTTCAGCCAGTCAACGTCTGAATAGGGATTTCAGGCCAACCTCGTCCGCACCTTATAAGAAGGTAGGGAAGAAGAAGAAGAAGAAGATATAAGAGGAAGAGATGAGATGAGATCGAACATTTTTAGAGAAATCCTAAAATGTAAAAAGTCAAAATTACCCTTCAAAGTGAAAGAACATTAATAATGTCATAACAGGTAACAGATTTTGCTAAAGGCATTTGATTCAGGGAGCGTTATATTACTAAGAATGTTATATTAATATAAAGAAAGATAACTTTGAAGATTACTCGGAATCTCATTAAATATATGTTTGGTTAGATAAGATTAAATTGGAGAGTATGTTATATTGATATGTTCGGTTTGGAGGAATAAATTGGTGGGTATATTACATTTTAGGGTTAGATTATTAAATTGTCCTTATGTTTTAATATTACAATTAATTTATATTTTTATTTAACCCTAACATTTCAAATTTAGCTACAGCACCCCAATAATAAAAAATATTTAAAACTTAACAAAAACACCCCAGCCACCCACTGTCGGCCGTCGCATAGACGGCGTACAAATGGCCGAATCTAGTTGGTCGTGCGCCAATAAGGTCATTTAGAAATGATTAAATCTAGCATTTTCACGGCCACATCTTTAGTTGTTAAACGACCACAAATTTGGCAAGAAACGGCCTCACCAGCGCATGGCCAACCATATCCAGTTGGTCGTGTGCCGTTCTGGTGACTTACGGTGGCCACCAACGATGGTGGCCAACGGCAAGCAATCCTCTTGGGTGGCTGGGGATGGCTATGATCTTAGTAATTTGGTTGAAGTACAAAGGTAATTCTGTCTTACAAATATTTAGTATAAGGCTAAAATTGTCCATAAAATTCTTGTAAATTGTTTAGATCACAGGGGCATTATTGTCCTAAAATTTATTAATAAGGGGTAAAATTGTAACAAGAATAAGATTACCAAGTAATCTCAGAATATCTAAAAAAATGGTGGTATTCTGATTACCACTCATATAACTAACAATGATTACTATTGGTTTTGAAAGATTATCGGAATCGTATATTACTTGACAACCAAATATAATAGTATAAGTAATATAAGATGACATTACTCAATCATGGGAGATAACCCCCAACCAAACAGCCCCTATCAGATTTAGACGAAAAATGGGTAATTATCGTTTTCAAATTTTTGGGTAAAAAGTGTCTTTAAGAAAAGATGTCTTTCGGCCTTTAAAGAAATCCCTATCTCCATCGAATATACGAATCAATACGTAGTATGGGGATTAGATTAAATAACAAGTTTATACAATAATCATCTAGAAGCCATTCTTTCTAAATCTTCACCAACAAGAATTTGTTCGTGATGTAAGACTGATGCTATTAAATTCATGTTTTAATCTAACAAAATTCTTTTAGATAATCTTATAAGAATATTAAACATATTATTAAAATGGATAGTAATATCCTTTTAGTTGTTTTTTATTTTATTTTATTTAAATACAAATCAATTATTTAACTACAGTGGCTTATTATACTTATTGTAGACGCAAAAAAAAATCTACCTTTACGAAAATAGGGACTGATCCTGTGAGGTTAAGGCCACTATTAATCTGTTGTATCTGTACACGCAAGAAAACAAGCGTGATGGGAACGGGAAACACTAGGTGGTGTTTGCCATAGGCACTCTGACATTCAAGTCAACAAGGCCAAATGAGGCTAATTTAGTGAGGGTTAGGGAGAGAGAAGGTTACCAAAAGTCTAGTTGGAGACTATAACTACGACTGTGATGCGAAATTCTCGAGAGCGAGAATTGCGGGGTCTGAAGGTGTAATGTTTGTCCCTTGTGAAAGGGTTGGCCTTTATTTAAATAGTGATTGTAGGATCTTCAAATCCTAGTAGGACTGTGAATCCTTGGAGTTGAGGTTTCGTGAAAAGAAAGAACCTTTGGTTCCCTTACCTTAGTGGGGAAAGAGAGTCTCAACGGGTCTAAGACACGAATCTTAAACGAATTAGGGTAGTGATGGACCTCTTCAATAGAGTTGGGATAATACCGGGGTAAATAGGTGACCCTAGGCTTCGAGTAGATCCTAAGTCTAGAAGGTGGTCTAGGATCAGAGGGCTTGGGCCAGATAAACTGGCAATGAGGCCTAAATTACTGATTG